CCTAAATCCCATAAATCCCCTTTCCCACATTTCCAGCTCAGTGTATCCATATCCACAACCACGTTCATTAATAAATCGGGAATGTGCTCCACCGCSATGGAAAACTTGCCCTGGGAATTCTTGGGAATTGTTCCTCCTGGAGCAGCACAACTCCACAAAAACTCCCAAAATTCCAGACACACTGCTCCAAACCTGGGAATAAACAGCTTCATCTTTCCATTAAATCCCATTCCATTCTAACATTGCCATTATTTCCCAGCAGCTGGGATCACTGCCTGGAATCATACCAKATCACTTCAGCTCCAGGGATTTTTCCCGGAGAAGCAGCGCTGCCACATTCCAAATGTTTTCCCTCCACTGCCAGCTCTCACATCCAATAAAACAGGAGGAAAAGTCAGTTTTGCAGTGCACTTTTCCCTGGAAAATTCTGCAGGTTGGGAGCGGGAGCCTTTGGATGTGGARCTGGGCATTCCCAGGATGAGGTGGAGACTGGGAAAAATCTCTGCATTTAAACCAAGATTAATTAAGGACTAATTAGGACAAATCTTTGGAAAAGAAGAGCTTTTCCTGCCTTTTTCATTGGCTTTGAAGGGAAAGGATCCAAGCAAATACATGGAAAAGTGAGCAAACACTCTGGAGCACAGCTTTACACAGTGGTGGGAACGAAAACCATGGATGTTTTCCCCAGTTTTGGAAGCATTTCTGGGATTGTGCTTMCATAAATTTAGGGATTGATTGGAGCAATCCACAAAAATTCCAGACTCCTCATTTCCCAATTGTCCTGTCCGTGGGAGAGAGGAGATAAGGAAAAATTTTTGCACAGAAAGTGCAGCAGTGTCATGGAAAAAGCCAGGAAGTGCTCAGCATTCCCAAGGACAACATTCCTGCCCTCTGTTCCTACCAGGATTTGTGGATATGGAGGATTCAATCCCACTGAGCTGTTCCTCAATCCAAACTCTTCCCCCTTCCCATTATCCTACAAAAATCCCGCTCCTTCCCCGGACTTTCAAACCCATCCCGGTCAAGCAGGTGCATTCCAGAGATCCTGAATTCCCAGGATTCTCCAGCACCTGGACAGCGAGAGGAGGGAGGAAKCCATGGAATGAATGGAATGGGAATAACCAATCCACATCCTTATTGAAATCCTTAAGGATTTAAGGAAAATCAGCCACCAACAGTTTTATGGGATGGAAATATTGGAAGAAAAACAGCCATGGGAACATTTGGAGCCAGGGCTGCACTTCCCAAAAATAGAAAAAATAAAGAGAAAAAAGAGAAATAAATCCAATATTTATTAATCCAATTCGATTTATTCTCAAAAAATAAATTCAAAATTGCTTCTTCCCAGAAAAATGGGAAAAGGGGGAAAAGCTTTGTTTAAAAAAGTATTTTTAATTTTAAAGAGAATTTTGCACAGTGTTTTACAYCATTTCCCTTCAAAACTGAATCTTCCAGGAAAAAAAAAAACAAAACAAGAGGAATGAGAATCTCGGGAAGTTTTAAAGGAGAAGTTTGTTTTATCCCAGTATTGGGAGGAATAAAAATCTGAGTTTGATCTCTGCCTGGATTTTGAGTGGATCAAGGATTCATTTCTCGCAATAAATCAAATTCTGGGCCCAATTTTAACCCCCTGCCTTGCCCCTGCTTCCCAATATTTGGATTTGACTCCAGATTTTCCGATGGGAATGAGCAGGAAGGCACCAAAGTCTGCCCAGGTGAGCACTTCCTGAAGGAAATTAATGGGAATTAATTCAAATTCCTGGGAGGGGATTAATTATAATTAAAAGTGGTATTGATAAGMGAAAGCAGGTGATGATTTGAATGTGACAGGATAAAAAGTGGGAATATTTGGGAAAAAAAAMCAGGCACAAATGAAACTCTGCCTGAACCCCACCACGAATTCCTACATTTCCAGCACTGAAATCCAGATCTCTACCAGCATAGAATTCATATGGAAAAAGACAGGAAAATTTGAAAATAAACAACAAAAAGGAGATTGAGGAAGAAATCTCTCCCATGGTATCCATGTGAGGATATCTCCAGGATGTTTTATCAGGCAGGACGTCACTTTATGGGATTTTCTGCTGGAAAAGCACAGAATTCCAGAGAAAAATAGGAGATCCAGCTATAAAATATCCCAAACAAGCTCAGGAAAAAGCACCACACCCCATTCATATTCTCTGATTTAACTCTGATTGATAAAAAGGTCTGCCCCGTCTGATTTCAGGATAAAATAAATTATGAAAGCGGCGCGGAATTCCAGTAAACACCATAATCCAGGGATGTTTTATCAGGATTTCTTTATATTTCGCATAAAACCCGGGAAATAACGAGAAGCACAAACACCGACCGGCAAAACTTCAGGAAAACAATTCCCAACCCCATCCTGCCCATGCCCCAAAACTTCCCAAAATCCATCAATAAACGACTCTGGCATCAGCATTCCTTGGAAATCCCACTTCCAGAGGGTGGACTGAGCTGAGTTTTCCTTTAATAATATTTTGGAGGAACAGAATTCGASCCCCACGCTCCATTCCCTAAAAAACACGTGCAGGCAGCCGGAACCGACTCGGAGCACAACAACATTCCGGACTGAATTTCTATCCCCCTTCCTAAATAAACCCGGAAAATTTTTAGGGAAAATTTATAAGACCTCACGAGGCCCGAGACGCCAAATTCCCGGACAGATTCCGAGGGTGCCAAGGAAAAACAAGCGGTGCCGGGTGAAATAAACCCGATTTTCCAGCTCCCCGCTGCCCATTCCAAGCCCTGAGGAGCGGGGAACCCAAACCCCCCTCCTGCTYCGAGCTCTCCYAACTTTCCTCGGCGTGAGGCAAAAYCGAGGAAAACCACAACAAAATCCAAGCGTGGAAAAAAGGGAAAAGTCCAGTTTATACCTTTGGATTAGGCTTTTAAAGCGTTAAGGCTGGGTTTCAAATCGGGCCTCCAGCACTAGCGGTGGCGGAGCGAAAGGGGGGCGGAAAACGACCGAAAATGACGGAAAACTATTTAAAAATAATGAAAAAAATAATAAAAACGAGGATGAAAAGGAGGAAAGCCCTTCCCCAAGCGCAGCGCTCCCTCCCCGCAGGGCCCTGCCCAGGAAGAAGGCGGATTCCCGGCCCGGCGCTCCCTGCCCGGGGGGGCCGCGGGGCTCCCCCCGCCGCAGCCCCGGCCTCGCTCGGCCGGCCGCCGCCTCCCGGTGCCCTGAATCTCCAATAAAACCCTGCTTTTTCAAAGCTTTTTTGATTTTTTTTTTTTTTTTTTTTT